GTCTCATCTGAATACTGGTGCGTAAAATCACATCACAGTGCAAATATAATAAATATGAGTACCACCTTATCCCGTAAACATTAAAAATGAATACCTAGGTACCTAAAATGTTAAGAAAAAAAAACCATTACAATAAGTATAACATAACGTAATATAATATTTTTCTATACTATACTTCGACGTAACACAACGTGATATGTATTTAAAGGTTTCAAGCGAAGGCAAACCACAATGGATGGAAAGCCAAAACGGAAGTTCATTTCATCCAACCGATCACGAATATCCATATTATACTATATTATAGATTATAGATACTAGGTAGTGATATGAATTTGTAAATGTCTATTGATAATATCGTATATTATACATCATACCATACAAGCTTTATAGAATTATTTTATAGAACAGTGTACAATTCAGGGTTGAAAAGTGTTTTAAACAAAATGTTGTGTACATTAATAATCATTATTGTAGACAAAAAAAAGGAAAACCTTTTATTTGATGAAACTATGTTGTGTTTTGTCGGAGATTATTCGTATGAATCGATAAGAATATTAGATGTTTCTTTATTATTGCACTTTGTTTTAAGTATTGTGGAAAATAATCAAGTGCCTTCATACAGATACACTAATAGACAAAAACTGTGTATAACAACAGCAATACGAGCGGGGAGTGCACACTGTGCACACGTAATCAGTATTTTGTTAATTATTTTTAACCATTATAATTCATATTGCCCATATTGGCAGCGCACGACTGCATATTGACCATATTGTATTATTGATTATTGTCGCACGGGGAACTTATACACTAAAATTTGTATAAAAAATAATTTTAAACGTTTTTTTGTGCGAAGTGATTTGGAAACTATATAACGTGTTAAAAATTCAATCGTATTTTTTTTTATTATTTGTTTCTTCCATTTTTTTTATGTATATTTTAAAATAAAAAAAATTTGAATTTTATACCGTATAAAATGTTCATACCTATAATTTATACGTTACGTAATACCTACGGTATTATACAAAGATCGATTTTTGCACTGTAGTATAGCGGGCATTATGCAAATTTTAATTACTATATAATTTATACGAGGTGTATATGGTAACGTACGAAAAAAAATAAATCAATAACGTAGTTCTACTTCACTAATTACAGATTAATACCTAGGTAGGTAATGAGACGATTAACAAGCTACAATACCGTCTCCGCAGTTGTAGTTATGTAACACTCGGACGCTGCGGCGTTGATTGGTGGGGTCGATCCCGAGGCAGCAGAAACTACCTTGGGCAGAAATCGAATTCAGGGACGTTTCACGGTGTATGAAACTAATAAGTTCATATTGTCTACGTATGAAGAATATTATAATGTATACTCGAGCAAGTCGGTCGGAATAAATTAAACGCATTTTAGAAAAAACTGATCTTTATATTATATTATTGATATTATTATTTTGATCAATATTATATTATTATACGTTTTCCCTTTTGCAATAAAATGTCAATTAAGAGAACGTTCAGTGGCGTCGAGTGATGAATTTATACGGAAGGGGAGGTAGGGGGGGGCGAATAGCCTTCTTCCCTTGTATGGTATCGGCGACGCTGCCGGGACTTCTTGCGAATTACTTCGGCAAAGGGGATACAGTCTATATGATTATTCGAGTACACAACATATGTTCTAAGAATGTAACTAAAGAAAAATTTGTAGAAACAAAATATAAAATTAATATTATCATGTAAACATGTTTCAGTTCTCAATTACTTCTCATGCATGGACGTGTACAATTTTACATTTTTATACGGGAGCTTAACAGAATTCCGGGGGGGTTATAGCCCCCTTAGACCCTCCCCCTTCGTTCTACGGAGAGGCTTTATACTCTTATTTCTGTGTACAACTTCGTTTATCTAGGTTGGATGGTAGGTAATTACCACATATTGGGAATAATAATATAGTGAAATTCCATTACAGAAAATTATAACTGTGCTTTTAGGTTATGCTAAGTAGATAGTTTATTAATTATATTCAAGAATGTTTGAAAAATCATGAATTTACAGAATAAGAAATATGATATATTGAGTATTGAGCACAAGAACTTTGATATATTTTTTAAATTCTCCTTAGTTATTAATATTAATGTATAATTCCTCTTTATATGTATTAGTTCCATTTTTTCTCGTAACATAAATTCGAAGCAAACATTAAAATTAATTAATAATTTTAAATGTATGTATTTTTCTATATAAATAATTCAAAATAAATAGTATTCACCATAAACATTTCGGAATTCGATTCGATTAGAAGAATGAGTTTAGACTGAGTTTAGACACAAAATATGATATTGCATTTCTTAACAGCGATTTAATATCATGCACTTGGCATATAATATTAAAGTTTAATATAAAACATTTCCGGAATAAAAATATTTTTATTTATGTGTAGTATATATGATGTATTATTAGAAATAGATGGGTACTTAAGGTATCTATACCATAATAATTAAGCCAAATATGCTAATTTGGCCTTTGAATTTTTATTTTGTTCTTGGTGAGATTTTATCATGCTGCGGCAGCGATTGGTTATAGGTGTACTGTGTAGGATCGTTGAGTTTTTCATACTCAAACTTGTAGTGGTTGTTTAGATAAGTTAATTTGTTACTTGTTATCGTCTATACGATTTTCTCAGTACCAATAAAGCTAACTGAAATCGTACGATATTATTGATTTGTGATTAACGTGATCCTAATAATTCTATACATCACCCTCGTGCACATACGTAATTTGGTAGTTTTATTTTTGGAGTAAATCAGTGATATTATGACAGTTAGGTTAGTGTTAAATTAAAAAAAGTGAAAGATATTATTTTTTGTTTCAACAGATTGTGAATAATTTCGTTTTGAATTTTATCTTCATATAATCATATATTATTATTTAGGATGGCACGACATTTTTATAAATTTTATGCACAGCCAAATATTATGTACTACCCGGCCACATGCGTGTAGTAAAAATTTCATTTTGTCCAAACTATTCTAGACAAAATTTAAGTCTTTTAAAATTTCAAGAATTTTTTACTTTATATAATTTGCACATTTTCATGATTTTAACTTATTTTATAATAGTTGGTATTTAATATAAGTAGTATATTTTTTGGTTTAGGACTTAGGTACCCAAACAATAAATTATAATGGCAGGTAGTTATTTTTGTTTCTCGAGAATTCGATACGGTAATTTATGTAAATAATTTTTGAGCGTTTTAGATTTATACTTCCATCAATTAATCAAATCGGTATGTAATTTTGGTTCAAGGGAGAGGCGGGTTAAACAATATTATAATATATTTAAGTATAGGCAGGTGAGCGGGTTCGCGCGAGGACGACAATACACATTAGACGCGATTTTATCATGGCCCATGAATAATTTTATTTTTTAGTCATAGCAATAAGGCATTTAAAGCACTGACATACGTATGGGTACGGTACACTGTGGGCGTGTTCAATCTTTGTCCGAAGATAAATAGTTTCCAATGTAACATATCCATACATCAACGTAATTAAGCATATATAGCTCAGTATAAAACTTAAGTTATATACTTGAGAGAACATAGATATCTGCATAGCTAATGTACACTATAATTTGATTTGAGTAAAAATAATTGTTGATAAATCGACCACACAGATAAATATTTATTCGATCTTTCGAAAATGTGGTTGTTGAAGAGTTTTTACAAATTATTAGACATTTTACACATAAGCACCTATCCCCACTGTAAAAAAAAATTGTTACGAAAAATTGTGATTTGGTTGTAACAGATTTTTTTTATATCTCAAGAACGATTACCGTCCTCTTTATGTCTAAATAAACACTGTTTAAGACGGTACTTATGTAGGGACAATAGAACACAGAATTGTTGATTATTTTTGCTATGCATCGTAACAAAAACTTGAACGTTTTCTTGTTAACTGGGTTTCCGTTTAGCACAATTTTAACGTATTGATATTCATCACTGCTAAAAAAATTTAAAATTTTTAAACAAAGCTTGTGATGAGGCGAGATTATTGCATTTGGTATCTATATGACTATATTATCTTCTAGAATGCAATCTTATACGTTTAAAATTTAAATATCTATCAGTATATGACAATTAATAATATACTATGTACACAAGTATCTACACCCATTTTAAGTTAAAAATTTCGTGAAACAATAATTTAAAAAAAGAAAATTCCCTATAACTGCTTTTAGTGTTTTATTTTTTTACTGGTATTAGTGATATATACTGTGATGATATGTTTAAGATTTTAAGAAGCTAAAGAAATTAATTTCAGACATTATTTTAATGTCTCACATAACACTATTTTACACAACAATATTAAATATTAAATCATGTCTTTAGCATGATGTGAATTATAATAAATTGAATTACATTTTGTTTCCCAGTACGGCAGTACCAGTTTAATTTAATTGTTAAAATAATTAACAACATACCTTAATATACAGTATACTAATTATCTGGGCGTTTTGGTGAATTTTTAAAAATTGCAATGTGGTTGGGAAATTTAGCATGATGCGTTTGGCTGAGTGATTTTACAACATTGTATAATCTGCTTGGGCAACTTTATTAATATCCTGGTATGTTGTATTTTATCAATCCATTTTCCTCTAATTTTGATAAATTTGGGACTGTCTGTGAATTCCATAGGTATGATTAAAAGTGGATTGTTTTTTTGTGAGTGTGTGATTAAAAATTGAAATGATTTAGAACCCCCTAATTATCTATAGTAATAGAATACATAATCTTAAGCCGGTATTTATTTACTAACATTGCTTAGTGCCTATATTAGGTATCATATTAGGCGTACCAGTTACAAATTATATTACATACTCAGCTCTACTGTACTACTGTATCTGCCTTATTCGATTTTATTTTAAAGAATTAATTTTATAATACATGTATATACCTGCCTAATTTATATTTTAATAGTAAGATTAAATTATTTCCAGGGAAAATTCTGCACACAAAAACGTAACGTTTAATAGTAACGATACGCTGACAATGACGCCTGTATTTCCGTTGACATGGGTGCCGGAACTGAATGCTGGAAAAGAAGACGACGTGTTGGTACTACCAAATATTGCCCTCCTGGTAAGTTATCAATTATAATAAAACGTTGTTTAAAGACACTGATCCATCAGCTATGGTACAACTGTTGTAGAGATAATAAATTAAACTCAAATGCGGACATAGATATATACCGGTCAAAATATGTTCGGTGATCGACACTAATGAGTAATTATTTTAAAGCATGATTAAGTGACGCACCTATACTCAAAGTTGGCCCTCCCACTTGGGCGTAGCAATTCGAAATCTTCGCCAATATTTTGTGAGCTATGTCGAAAAAGAGTTAATGACGAGAATTTGCGATTTAGCCGTTTTCAATAGCTATACAGACAAAATAATAATGGGTGGACGTAACTTCGCTTAACTCTGCACCCATGTCCTTCTTTAATGTCGATACAAATTTGATAAACGACCAAGTGAACTCGCAAATTCTCGCAATTAACTCGCAAAAATATTGGTGAATATTTAGAGCCGATGGCACCATCTTGGTGTGCATTGTAAAGCGTCCATATCAACCATGAAGTCATGACGTGTGTGCATATATAGTATGGGTACTCACTGCGTCCACACTCTTTTTTCAGTGACTTATCTCTGTCACATTCTCATAAGTATAACGGAGAAAAATATATCGAAGCGATTGGAGAATATTCGGTTACAATATTCACAACGATGTTTTAATTATTTCACAGACACGCAGTTGACACACAGTGGACGATGTGAACATATTATACCTAATAGTAGTAATAGTACCTGTAATGTGTATAGCAATAAAACAAAGATTTTCGTATCGATATATTCAAACCTCGACTAAAATATTATTATGTATTCCAAATAATATTCTTGTCAACACAATTGACCTTTAATCGACTATTGCAGGTTTTCCAGAATGAATAACAATTAGATATTTAAATATTTTTTTAATGTCACCTGCCTATTGGTATCGAATTTAAAATTTTGTGGTGGGTACATTTACATTTACATTTTTATTTTTTGAATATATAAAGTTTCAACCAAAATATCTTACGACTACATCAAATCGTACATTATTGTATAAAGGACCAAAAACAAAATATACATTTTTCACTGTCCACACTTCGAATACAACTATAATATTTTTTTTAAACATATAAAATGTTGTTTAATTAATTTTTAACTGTTAAATAAATTAATTTAATATGTTATCTACAGACAAACAACTTTTTAATTCATCGTTTCCATCCCACACTAGCTTAGTTAGTGGTTTTTATACAAACTATTATTTTTAATGCCGGGTCACTCGAAATTGCTATGAAGACCGTGAACCCCTAACTTAGAGATTTGGATTTTGAAAGACGAATAGTTTTATAATAATTAATAATTATTGTCTTGCGTAAAATCACGTTTCCAATTTCAGAAGAATGTTTATACAATTATTTTTCTCGCTGTGTTTTTATAGAGTTTTGCCAGTGTCATGTCAGAAGCCTCTTTGATCACCAGGATGGGTGTCAATCTACTTATTCGCCAAACGAAATCCAAACCTTTTGTCAGACAAACGGCTAAGGAGTTCATGTTTGGCTACGAAAGTCCATTAGTGACTATTGGCAACAAGTTCTTGCCGTCTTGGATCGCATTTGACAAGCTGGGCCTTATAGACAGAGTAAGTTTTAATATAATGTAACATATATATTTTATATTTTTGCTTTACAAGACGAAAGTGTCATCGATGGGTAGCTTCTTCAATCAAATTTTTCAATTTTATATTTATTGTAGCTCATACTCTTGTTGTGCCAGAGGTACAGATTGTGTATATATATATATTAATAAAGAAAAATAATTTTTTTCTTGCTTAACATTTTGCCTGAAATTAGTTAAATTCATAATATTTTAATGAATAATATCATATTAATAAATAAATCAAACATTTTAAGTGAGCATCTGCATAACCTGTTCTTACATGTCAACACTTTGCGACGTACTTACCAAAGCGTCCTTTTTGGGATCGTAGGCGAGTCTTTATTAATGTTATTACTTATTAGTTATTGGTTAGGTATATTGTAAAATGTTGGATGATTATTTAAAAATATCTATTCCTTATACTGGCACAATTTATGTCTATACGACCATACTTCGACAGTTTATTTATTAAACTGCATAAATACATAAATTAACTGTTGCATTTAGGCAGTTTTCCATTTCTACGATACAAAACCATAAAATATATTCATTAACATTTAATTTTGGCTTTAAGATTAAAATAATAACATAGTTATTATACAGAGTGAGTAGTTAGCCGAAAACGTACATCTTGAAGATTATTAAGGCTTTTTAAAATATTTCTTTTCATATAATTTCAAATTTGAATTGGAATTCTTTACCGAGCAATGTTTTAAAAAAAACATATTTTACTATTTGGCATCAATAATCAATATTATTAGATTACTTATTTTAAAGCAAAATAATTTTTTTTTCATATTATAAAGCAGAATATTTGTCTAGAAATTGTTATGTAAGTATACACATTTTGTTTCGAAGTATAAGTGTTGAGTTATTTCTAACTTTTAAGTATTAGACAAACACTCCGCTTACGAAGGAGTAATGGATCGACATTTAAACTTTAGATACTTATGGATGTGACTAATCATTTAACCACCTATACTTTTTTGAAATTAAAATTATACACATTATCGAAATACTCAAGAAAGTCCTATTTTGGAATATGAAATTAAAAATGAACGCTGCATTCTTTCAAATAAATGAAATGTTTGACAATGACTACGATAATAAATATAATTTTTTTGAAAAATAATATAATACCTATTACAATAAAAAATAGTGTAACCGTATATGCAATAAATTTGTTTCCGAAATTACGAGTAGATACACTGAAATGGATCACTCTGTATAATCGATGTTCAAATTCTAGGAGTGCTTAAAACGAAACCCGTTACGCGTAGATGAAAATTGCATAATTATTTGTTTTTATGTTTTTTCAAGTGTGTGGTCGGACGTTCTTCGCCTCTTCCGAATAATTATAAACGTACGGCATACCTACGTGTATATTATAACTCGTATGCACGTGCACTTTAGGGTACCTATGTGTTGTCTAATCGGCATGCCCGTGTAGTAGATACCACACAGACAATTTTATCCGAAGTTCGAATTAGCAAAACTGTGTGGTTTATATATAAATCATGAATTATAATGCATGTGTAATAATACTCGAGTTAGTACACCCAGAATATAATGAACTGTGATTAGATCTCACAAAGAATCCTGGTTATTGTTCGCCGCACAGTTGGCCTCGATTTGTTAAAACATGATTATTAATCATAATTCGTAACAAATCTCCTGGTCGTACCAAAAGCATTATTTTTAATTTAATTGTGTGTTAAAGGAAAAAAATACACACGCTCGTGTACGCAGCGTTAATAGCGTTAATATAATAGTAGGTATATATTATTATTATTATACCTACTTGCACACCGAATTTCGCATTCAATATTATACATAATAATTAACTACCTATGATGTATATATAATATAATATTTCACTCTTGAAAATTAATTATTCAAATAATGGATATTTTTTGTGAATAAAAATACGGTATTGGACAGACAGTAAACAAAATGGGTAAGTGTTTATTAATGTGTTGCTCGTAAACAAAACAGGCAATTATATTTTGACGAGTTCGTAAGATTTCCTACAACTATAAATAAACTTAATTGAATTTTAATAAGATAAGTATACAGAACAATATATACATTTAAGTAAAAAATAAATATTTTATATGGCTCTGTTATTTACATAAATTATACCTCTGTCCTCTCGTGTACGGATCTAAATGGTAAAGTAGGTACAGTTTACCTATATATATCTTTCCGTCGTCATCGTAGGAAATTCAAAAGTTTAGAGAAGTTTGAAATTATTACCTATGTTTAATACATTTTAGTATTTTATTATCGGGAGTTTCATCATTAATTAACAGTTTAGAAAATCTATTAGTTCCCTGGTAAGACAAAAAATATCCCCAAGCATTCGTACAATTACAATATACCTACCCACGAGATGAGCATAATTAAATGCATGCCCACATTATAAACAATATTTCAACACTTCATATACAACTATTATTGTGCTGGAAAATAATAATATTTTATGAAGTTGTCAGCTTTGTCCTGTGTTACCAATAAAATCTCAAACTAATCTAACTCTGTCATCTGATATACGCGAGTCGCTGCACCTACCTACTTATGCATTTTGAATAATTTTCAATTTCAATACTTCCTAGTTGCAAAAATAAATAATGACAATAACGACTACACACTACAGTAGGCACCCGGGGCGCGTCTCGACAGATAAAAAATCAAATCCGTAATTAACCACAGGCTACGGTATTACACATGTGCACGGTGAGCTACATTATAATGTACGCAGTTCAACTAGTTAGTTCATTATGATAATATTATGTGTGTATTATTGTACTTTGTTGGTGGCGATACATTATAAACACAAATCGTAAAAGAATACATACAGTATACTTATAAAGTATTTAAGTACGTATTTGGCAAGTTTTCAGGTCAGCAAATCAATGATTTAAAGTTATTTAAGTTGTTCGGCATTGTGGAGGGTTAACACTTAACGATATCATCATATTCGTTTTTATTTCGAATCAGTAGTGTCGTGGGAAATGCGATTGAATAATGGGTGTATTATAATATATCGTCGGTTTTATGTAGATACGACTCGTAATAAATTTCGTTTTTTTTTTTTCACAATAAAATAAGAGCAAAATTGTTAGTATATTACGTCAATATTTATTTTACTTGAACAAAAATAAAATGTTGTTTCTTTATACGGCTGTATTTAACAGGAAATTAGGACGACTGTTGCTTGTAACATGTGACGTATACGAAATATTTCGTTTTAATGCGTCGCGATACGATTTGTTCACTCGATTGCTTTTTAGATAACTATATGAAGTATATTAAATTATTATGTCCCCGCGCGTTTGTCCGTCTGTACGTACTTACCAGTCCTAACCGTTCAGGTTAGAACAATTTTGCATATTGGACATACACGTTCTTGTGATTTATTGTATTATTTCCTGTATTATTTAATGGTCATGTAGTTGTTAGATAAAGAGTAGTTGCTTTTTTCATGAATATTGAAATACTGACTGAAAATAGTAAATACCTACACTTACAGTGATTAAATGTATGGGAAAATTGAATTTAAATAATATTGTTTTAATGTTTAAATGTCGTTAATATATTATATTACGAAGAACTATTCACTATATATACTATTATTGTAATATTATACGCATTTCGATTTTAAATTACTACTCACATGTAGGTACCCGATCATACCATAATATTTTCTTCCATTACGGCATTACGAATAGAAACTCGGAACTCTAAAAAAACTGCTGAAAACTCGAAGAGTGTGTTTTTCTTGACTTAATATCCATACGGCCGTAATCGGTTTCAACTTTATACGTAAAAGTACATGGTCAATATTCCAAAGTACTGCATTAGCGCTGTCGTCTATAATATAACATTCTGTTGTACAAGGACATATTATTTTGAGTGACCGTTGTTCTTATTTTGTGTCGTTGCAGATGTACGACTTCACCGGAGACAGCGCAACGATATACACAGGCACAGGCGACGTGTCCAAGTCCGGGACCATAGAGAACTACAACAGAAGGCCATATCTGCCGCAATGGCCAGCTGCCCCTTGCAACAAAGTGTCGGGTGCTTCGGATGGTACGAAGTTTCCATCAGCGTCGGAAAATGGTACACAAATGATGTTCTTCAGGAAGTCTCTCTGCAGGGCAATTCCGATGGTACGTGTAACTACAAAAGTACAAACCACACGAAGCGTTTGATCTCCCGGGGCCGCAAAAGTCATTATTATTTTTTTAAGATATAAATCGTTTGATGAAACCCGTTTCGCGGGTTTCAAGAAATCGAGAATAGTTCAAGCCGAGAAACTAAATGTCCATCATAAAAAAGACGAGAACTTTGACAATATTATTTTCTCCATGTTTTATTTTTTTTACAACGCAGTCATCTCTTCGTCGGAATTGTGGTTAGGGTTTTAAAATTGTTTTGCTTTGTAATTACGCAATAACCAACAAATATATATGTTACCTGCGTGGTCCCATTTCTAAGTTGTTTTGAATAAGTATTCAAATTTTTCTTATTAAATATTTCCAATAAAATTTACCAACCGCTTAAGAAGCTGCTATTTGTCGTCGTCTAAATAAAACCATTCCATTTGCACTGGTATATTGTGAATTCAAAGTTGTGGAGTTTTCGTTTAGTTCGACGAATCGATAAAATGTTTTGTCATACAAAACGAATAATAGGTAATCAAGTTTATTTTTTATGATCGTTTTAGGTAAAAACGAGTGAACTGTTTTTGCACGACGGCTTGCCAGTAAACAAGTATATTTTCGAAAACGGATCACTGGACAACGGTGCCGACAACCCGGCTAATAAGTGTTTTTGTCGTAAAAATAAATGTTTGAAACCGGGACTGATCGATGTCACTGACTGTTATTATGGTAAGATTATTAACTATCGTACAATACTAATATTATGTCCATATATTTGACTGCATAATATTATCATGATACGGCAGTGATGTATAAACGTATTTTACGGGCAATAAGTTGGTTATGAGCAGCCTTTTAAAGTTTAAATCTATTTTGGTTTTGTTTTTAGGTTTTCCTATCGCATTATCTTACCCTCACTTTTACAAGTCCGACCAATCGATATTAGACGCCATCGAAGGAATGACTCCTGATCAAGAGCAGCACGAAACCTATTTTCTCATCAACCCGGTAAGACGATAATTATTATCAATACACAAGTACCAACCTATAATAATATATTATAATATAACGATGATTACATTTCACATAATTGTGGGTTTTCCAGAGATCGAAAATCAAAAAGCGTTATTTCAATTGATTGTATTATTTACTATCCATTGTTTGTGTTTATATAGGAAACGGGTATGCCCACACAACTGTACGTCAGAATGCAAATTAACATTGCTCTAGGTGACATATCGGACATGGCAAACACGGAACATTGTAGCAACTTGGTTATTCCATTAGTTTGGACAGAGATTGTAAGTACCTGACAATTTATTTAGCTTACAATACCATTCTGTCACTATTTATTATGACCACGCATAATAATGAGACAACATAAAATGTAATAATAATACACAACATAGTAAACAAAACGAATATATAATTTTCGTTAAGTACTAAATAATTAACAGAAATAATTCATACGGACGTTTCACAATAAAAATAATATTACAATATATAAGAAGAACGATATAAAATATATTACATTTTGATTTAATCTGTTGAAAATTGAAATAAACTATTACTTTTAATTGGTACACAGCTACGAAGTCATATTTAAATTGTTATTAGAATAACAAGCATAGATGATTGGTTAAGGATATCTCGATGACGCTAATGAGGTTAGCTAGTATGATTTTCCCTCAGTCCTAATAAAGGAAAAGTTTGAATAACATGACACTGAAAATAGGTCGATATAAGTACGAACAAGTTATAGGTTCAAATTAATTTACTCAGTTTGGAATCTAATTGGAAAGTCGGTCTTTATGACTTCAGTTAAATAATCCCTTGTACGCTGTACAGTCGTACAGACTACTATAATATAATATAAAAATCATAGATGAGTGATTTACAAGCAGTATTCATACAAATTAATATTTCTAACTCAATTATGCATTTATTTAAAATCTGATTTTTGAAGTTTTAAAGTTTACTTAATACCATATTTTCAATTATTTAGATTATGTATAATAGGGTGTCCTGTTGAGAAATAAACATAATTTTTCCCAAATAAAACTCACCCTTACATTATTAAACAGCTGATATTTTTGTTGAAAATATTGATGTATTAAACATCAAACTAGAAGTTTTTGAGTTATTAATATTATGCATTGGTAGTAAATGCGTGATGTGTTGATTAAAGGATACAATTTATAAAGTGGTGAACATGCCTGCTGAATTATATTTTACAAAACTTTTTCTCAAAATTCTAAATTAATTTACTATAGTCTCTAATAATTAGTAACCATTTTTTGGAATAATCTTTTGTGTTAAGAAATAAAACCTTCGAAATTGGTGAAACAATAAAAATTAAAATCAGGTTTATTGACAATGTGAATGATACAAATGTTGTAAAAAATTTGGGTTTTGGTTGTATAGAACACGTTCAATAGATAATAAGTAATTTATGTAGGTATAAAATAAATGGCAAAAATATAAACATAATATTATTTTAACAACGCGAATGATAAAAAGATGATATTAGATAAAAGATAATATACCTGATGTGAAATCGTAGTGAAACGTTTAAAAAAAAAATCGTCCAAACAGCTAACATACAACCTTTCTAAAAAATATATATACATATATATATATATTTATATGCATATACGAATATTTCTAAAACAACAGTTGTTTCAGGGATTCGAAAAGCTGCCCGACCACATGCTGAACAAGTTCTTCGTGTACCTTCGGGTCGGCCCGGTCGTGCTCGTCGGGCTCAAGTACGCGCTGCTGGTCGGCGGCGTGGCGTTCGTCGCGCTCACCGTGTTCGCGTCGCTGTTCATACCCGTCGACGACGAACTGAGGTACCGGAACTCGTCGGCGTGGCGCCGGGAGAGCCAGACGCTCACGTCCAGGGACTCGACGCCCACGATACGCGTGCCGATACCCGCGGCCGCCGTGGCCGGCAAGGAGATGAACACGTACTACAACTCGCTGTTGGACGGCGACGGCGCGGCCGCGGCCCGGCTCAACGACGACCTGTGCGACAGGCTGGACGTGGTGCACGAGGTGAGGTCGCTGAGGAGCAGCTGCACCGGATCGGAGTACGAGGACGACGACGGCGCCGACGAAGACGACCGAATCGTCTGACCGACCGGACGCCAACGATTTTGTCATCTATAAATAAAATACGACCCGGTGACGCGACGACATCAAAAAAACGTTGCCTCGGCACACAATATTATGTACAATAATATTATGCTTTACAGTTATTATATTATATGTTATCGTCATCGTCGACCTGTACGATATGTACATATATATATATATATGTATATATGTATATATGTATATGTGTGTATATATATATATATGTTTATATATATTATACTATGTACCCATGCATATTTGTGTATATATAACATTTAATCTCAATGCCATTCGGAGAGACAAATCAGAAAATTCGATTCGACTTTTGTTCCATCACGTTTCGACGATTGCCATTCCTCGTTTTTAAACCGTAATAATATTATATATTATTATATACGTACATGTTTATACTCATATAAAAGTATGATACAATATAATATGGTAATATATTATTATATAATATTATATCGATGCGAAAATGTGATAACCTAGACTTAAGTTATTAAAATGTGATTTTATATTATATTTTACTTTAAATTATACACTGTTTACGAACTCTTCGGTGTCGGCCCCTATGCAATCGGTACAATATATTATTATAATTTTTGATAAATACGTGTGCGTTTGTGGTTGATCGTAAATTTCTTAGAATCGCCCGGATAAAAAATTATACGACCGTTGTTTTTTTGTGTTTTTTTTTATTATCGCTCCGTCGAACCTGCAAACCCCTTGGCGTTCCTAGGAAATTAATTTTATATGGATATATTTTTTTTTTTTTTTTTTATAGGTAGTGGCCATCGACTTACCTATTAACGTGGAAATAACTAACGCCTACCTTAAATTAATATAATATTATACCCAAACAACAGTTGTAAACTTGTACCAATACCACAGTGATGGGTTTACCGTAATAGTATCCATTGATCGAAAATTATTTTATCATCATTGGAATCAATCTCAAATACGAGTAGCACTACTGATTTAATATTCCGGTAATACTTAATTAATCGACCACAAAGCAAACTAAAAATATACTTATCGATTGCATTTGCCCAAAAAACCACAATTTTTTTTTGTATAATGTATGAATAGTTATATATTTGACATTTGTTTTGTGTACTCAAATATGGAACAATTATATTATATTATAATTTTTTTTTTTTTTTGGCTGAAGAGTCAAATAAAAATATTCTAGTACTAATTTTATTTTACCGTTTAGTTTAATATTATAGTATACCTATATACTGGCCAAGCCATATTGAAATGTATCTTTAAGGCTGTCATTAGTACCTAAGTGTTGTATATTAGATTTACTTGTATTTATCTAAAATAAATATACCTAAATGGAGAAAAGAATATTCTGCCGATTTAAATATTATAATTTGCCTATAATGTCTAACCAATATGTAATATGTACATAAACGTGCACAGTTGGCACTAAATCATTGATTTATTTGGATTAATGACTTGGAAACTCGTAAGTAAAAATGCATTAAATTTTAACATGTCCCGCGAACCAAACATGTTTTTACGATCACTATCTATGTCCATAAGCTATTTCCTTATATACCAAGCTAACCGATTAAACAAAGTCGGAGTATCTGATGGATGTTGCGCCTATACAAGACAGCATGCGTTAAAACAAAAATGAAAGAAACCAGAATTCAGATGGAGTAATAGAGGCAAAAGACGCGACTATTATTTTATCCATTTTATTATAATAATAAATTAATAAACGTTACCTATAGTCTTCTTTCCGTCGTTGTTAGCAGAATACCCGTTGCTGACACGTGTCATAATTACAAAGTTGTCTTGCCTATTTGGGCGAATCATGATATGTAATAAAATATTTTAATAGATATTTACACGTTTCTTCTAAGAAACTCATTCAATTAAGATACGGCCTATGCTGTCGTTATTATCACTATAATATATATATACCCGTATAAAAACATTTAAGTACCTATGAAATAAGATATGTCAAAGTTATAGTTCATAAAACGGATTAATTTAAGTGTTATAGGTATTATCGTTTATAAAAAAACTATCATATTATAATAAGTATAAACAAATACAAAATTTAATATTAACAAGTATAATTTGAAAAATTTCGATTGTAAAATATTTCAAAGCTAAAATGTCATGTGAAATATTACATAGTACCTACATACACACAACCCTATACTGAAAAGAATAATTTTTTTTTTTATTATCTATAATTTATTGTATTTTTTTTTTTAAATAATAATAAGGCAGTCGATATCCATGAGCAGTAGTAAAACTGGACAATAGTAACTAGATGGACAAAATAGTATTTATTCCCAAAAGTCGAAACCTTAACATAATTTTTTGTTAAGAGGTCTGCGCGGGACCTGTTTATTTACAGGAAAAGCTCTCACACCTCGTAGACTATCCGATTTTGACTATTATTATTATTATTTTTTTTTTTTGAAAGAGAAACACTTCTTACAAGACCCATTGGACTTGGATTTTCGAAATTATATATTTAAACAATATGATAGGATTTTGAATAGATTTTCACAAGCTTTTGTTATTTTTATTATGTTTGATTTAAGTAATAAAATTGAAAATCAAAGTTCAATGGCGCCTGTAGAAAAATATCCTCTAACTAACGAAAAAAATTAATCAAATCTGACCACTCTACGATGTGTAAGAGATTTCCTGTAATGCTTATTTTGCGGTGCTGTTGACATGGGTATGCGTGCAGTGGTGAACCATACTTCCACTAATAATATTATCATTGACGACCATCACTAATGCCATAGGCGACAGCAACGAAATCTCATATTACCTAAATATGGTAGCCTAATTAAGACGCACCAGCTGGCACCTTAAACAAGTCTCAAAACTTAATTTATGGCTTCAAAACAAATCGAAGATACATAAGTTAAATAATATTAAGAATAGTTCTAATGTACATTACAGTTCATAAAAAATTGATATAATACTTGTTTGAAAAAAAATGTGTAGATTATTCAGTAATCATGGTTTATAAAAAATTTAATTATTAGGTTATTTTTTTTAAACTAGATAATACTGTTACATTGACAATTTATTAATATAGGGATTATTAAATTACACGATAGGATAAAACCAGCTGACATAAATGTACTGATATGCAATAGTTTGAAGAAAAAAATATTATTATATTATAAAGTTAAACGAATTATGTAAGCTAAAATTAATATTTAGAGGTTCGGATGATCAGAATTAGTGCAATTTGAACTTTTTTTTTATACAACAGAGTTTGCAATAATTGCATAAATTATTTATGTACATATTATATTTGTATTATATTTTGGGTTCCGCTCAAATGGTAACATGAAATATTTCTGTTCATTGATCTCGGATCGAAATGGGGTTTGGGGAGAGACAGGGAATTCCAAAATACACATTTTTTGATAATTTTCAAATTTCTAGCTCTCAGTTTAATCATATGCAATACAACTTTAATTTTTTTAAACAGAAACATGTGTTTTCAACACCAAATTCGGATACACCAATTTTTTGCAGAAACTTTCAGATATACATTTTTCAAATATCTCAAAAAATAGCTAATTTAAAGCAAAAAATAGTTGAAACAAAAAGATTTTTGCTCAATTTTTAAAAATTTTAAAATATTTGTATTTTTTCATTATAACACTATTTTTAATTGAAACAGGCTTTATTTGGAAGAGGGAATTGCAAAGGCAATTCAAATTTTAAACATTTTATTGCACAAACTATTCATCATTATCTTGTGAAAAAACTTTGCTTATATTGTAAGTACATGCATCTAAATGTTGATTTTGGTTGTTTATGCAACTCTAAAAAAAATTACTGTAGACACATGAAGTGAATGTTCATACTATTATTTCCTATACACAACGAGGTTCTCAATATTTTGACTCACATGAAGTTAGTTATAATCATATGATATTTTCGATTATTATTTTTTTTTTTTTTAAATTTACTTCGATAAAAAAATGTTTCCACTGTCAAAAAAACTTTAAAAAGTAATAAAAGGTTCTTCGTAAGTTGTTATTACTTATTAGAGGAAATTAGAAAAAAGTTAAGTGAGAATCTACGGTACATTTTTTATAGCATATCTTTTTTATTCACTAGATTTCTCGAATAGAGATTTCTTTATTTTGTTGTAATTTTGAGGGTGGTGACATTCGTCATTCTTTTTGTCAGGAGGTTAGAACGAAAAAAACAATGACCATAATTAAATGTAAGGTATCTTCATTTTTATACTGCACAGTGCACGTGCCAAACTGGACGGGCAGCAACAGCTAACTATTGAACAATTAAAAATTAACAAAAACAAGATAATAATAAAATAATCGATCTCCGTTATCGCAGCGGTCGGGACGGATCGTCGGTTGACGTATGCCGACAACGTAGACTGTGGGGTATAATAATAATAATATATAAAAATAATAAATCACTAAATAGTTAAAAAATTAATTAAATGTTCAAAATGTATAGGAAAGAATTGAAAAATTAAAACAAGGTTGTAGCAAGTAGTTATTTATGAATCCAGAATGTCTAAAAATACATAAACATAATTTTGATTGTTATTTTAGTTCTAATTTGGATGAACTGATAACAAGAATAAAGAACAAAGATTCTATACTCTGTTCACGACTAGAACGCAATCAAAACTAGCGAACAATTCTTGAGCATTCCCACCACTATTCCAGCGCTAAAGGTTCTATCCGCATGGTGTTAGATGTGCGAACGAGTTGCGTACTTATTGTGAACTGAGTAAAGTTATTTTGTTGTAATTTTGTATACATTTTTTTAAACTTTACATTAGAAATAAACAATAAGTTTATGAGGGAAGAGTAATAATACAGACGTTACATATTGAGTAAGAAGCCACCCATTGACGACACTTAGCTTCATAAATTATACTTTTTTAATATTTTTTTTTATGTTTCGAATTTATTTTATTTTCATATTTGAGAGGTTCGAGTTGTATTTATATTAGTTATAATTGTTAATTGCAGATGGTTACGCCACCATTTACTTTTTAGGCTGCTCCTAAGACTTCCTAAAAGTGGTGTATGAATAAAAAGGTTTTTGATCAGAGGGTTCAGATGGGGTTCAGAAGTCGCTTGTGAAAGTACGAATAAAAGAATTGTGCATCTTCATTGATGGTTTTCATAAAACAATATTTATGTGAGGTTAGGTTTGATACGTCTTCGAACGCATCAGCAGGAAGCTGAAAACCATGCTTGAATATTTAAAAGTGGCAAAAAATGTGGCAAAATCCTTGAAAATAGCCGAGAGGTAATTAGGTCTTATAACACTTCAAGGCAGAGTGAAATAAGAGACGTCAAATTCGGGAAAATGGCCCGTGACCATAGCACGGACGAGCAAGGTACAATGCCAGCTGTGCTCAAACAACTCGAACCACAAAGCCACTCCGACAGGATGTCAGCAACCTCAAGGAAGTCACTCCCCAAAAGTCCAGGATGGAAACCAGGTCCGCAGTGGACTCCGACGATGGAAGAGACAGCACATTGTGGTCAGAAGTCGCTAGAAAGAGACCAAAAAAAGCGACTCTTCAGCCGGCGCTAACAGAAGCACAAAGCAGATGAAATGACGAAAGGCCCAGCGACATGAATAGACCATCAGCGATACTCATAGACGTCAACAAGGAAGATTTCCAAGTGCTGCCCATAAAGATTCGGTAGTGGCATAACCAATAGGTCACCGAAAATAGAGTAGTGGGCATGTACTAGTCAAGCAGCGGAGATCTCCTCAAACAAGTCTGCGGTGATGCCATTGTTCAAATACGAAGTTAGCTCATGCCATGCGATGTTTTTATATTATGTCTGCATCACCACGTAGTAGACGACGAAGCGTCAGAGGAGCTTCTCTCCACTTCCAGGTCTCCGGAAGATGATTAGCTGTTCTAATCCGAACCACCGTCGGTCGCAGGTTAACGCCGACCGCGTTGTGTTTTCGCAACGGTTGAACCTGGCGGGTGGTTAGGTTAGGTTACCTAACCTTGCCGCCTTGTTTCCGTTCCCCGTCGTCCTCAAGTGTACCAATTTGAGCTTTCTTTCGGTACTGTACGTGTAATTGCTTCAGAAACGCTGCGCAAATAGTAAAGGCAGCCGCCCTACTGCCAAGGACAATTGAGCTACCACTTCCTAGTCAGGACAATGACAGGGACGAGAGACGTTCAAACCAGTCATGTCGTTGCTTCCTTATTGTATATCCACGTTCATTGGGTATATCAGTGGTCCAAGGTATTGACCACTGACAGCGATCATCCAACGCATATAACGTGTATTATAACTGTAGTCATAGAAATAGTTTTATCATCATAAGCTTTCACCTC